GGGTCGGGCGCTTCGCGTGCAGCGCCGGTCGGGCCGGCCGGGTCCGCGCGCCTGACGCGTGCCCGCTGCCGGGTGAGGACGCGCCTCACCAGCCGGTGATCGACACGTGTCGATCACCGGTTCCGCCGCTCTCCTCCGCACGCCGTCCGACGCGTGGCGGCCTCCACCCTCTCTCCCGCCTTCATTTTCCAGGTCTCTTTCCCGTTTCAATCTATTTTCTCTCGATTTTTTTATCTTCCAATCCGTAATCCGATTCGTTAAATTTTCTTCACGAAACTTGTAGACCTCCTATTCTACTCCTTGGAAAGAATTTTCTTAAATTTTTCTGATGATCACAGATCTTATTATTTGAGTTCAAATTCGGAGAAAAACACAAGTTCTTACCGAAAATCACGTTATCTTTAAACTCCGATTTGAACGCCGATCTTGGCCGCCTTCACTTCAGAACTTAACCAGATAGCGCTGTTGGGGGGTAAGAGTCCAAGGATCAACACAAAACGTTGCTAGCACACGAAAATTTTGATGACTTCTCCATGTAGATACTCGTGGACTAACCTGAAGTTCTTGAACGTTTTGTCGAGATAGGAAGGTGCGATTCGTGAGAGCACCTTGCCTCGAGCTATTCAACGGTTTAGATTGGGGACTCGGTTCTCCGGCGTCGGTTCTGATCCGATCTCCTCCCCTTCCTCAAAACCCTAATCTTCTTTCCCTCTTCTTTCTCTTTTCCCCATTTTAACTCAGCCAAAACAAACCCCTCAACTTATAGGGGCGAAATGACTAGTTTGCCCCTATTGTAACCATTTTTTTTTTTTTTTTTTTTTTTTTTTTTTTTTTTTTTTTTTTTTTTTTTTTTTTTTTTTTTTTTTTTTTCAAATAGACACAAATTCAATAACTAAACGTGAAGTTCAACCTTACAGGAATTTGCTCGAGAACTGCAACAGTCGGCCATTTGAACGGCGAAAAAGGTATAAATATTCAGCAGACATCACGATTTTTCGTTCCCTGAGTTTGGCTAATCTGAATCTCGAAGAACGGACTCATCATCAATGGATCGACTGGATGATTCAGCGAAGCTCATGATAGTTTCAGATCTTGATTTAACAATGGTGAGTTTCTTCAACCTCGCGAACACCTTTTCATTTTCCATCTGGAAATTTTAACGAATTGAAGATTGTACATGCAGGTCGATCATGACGATGATGATAACACATCGCTTCTCAAGTTTAATGCTCTATGGGAAGCTTACTACCGTCGGAATTCTCTTCTCGTGTTCTCAACTGGAAGATCGCCGACGAGTTACAGAAAGTTGAGAAGGGAAAGGCCTCTGTTGACTCCAGATTTGACGATAATGTCGGTAGGAACGGAGATTGCTTATGGCGATTTGATGGTTTCAGATGAGGAATGGGAACGATTTCTGAATTGGAAGTGGAATCGAGATGTAGTTGTGGAGGAAACCCTAAGATTTCCGGAACTCAAGCCGCAGGTAGAGATGATAATTTGATTTGTTTTTTCTTTTTCATTCCTTAGTTATGCATTGAATTGATGTTCTGTATATCTCATTGCTTCTTGAGGATGCTTTTGTTTCTAGCCCTAATTGGTTTGATTGGGATGTTTCTTCAACCTACTGCACAAAATGAGGATATTACAGTCAGAAACGGAGCAACGGCCTTTCAAGGTTAGCTTCTTCATAGAGAAGGATAAAGGTCCCCAAGTGGCGGATGCTCTGTCTGATTGCTTGGAGAAACGAGGGGTAAGTTGATGCTTATTTTGTTGGTCTGAACTGGATTTGTTGCTGAATTCAACTGGACCAAAATGATTGTTTTTTTTTACGTCTTGAAAGTTTAGGAACTAAAAGTAGTAATGTCGATGTTCTAAGAGTTTATGAACTAAAAGAAAGTAATATAGATGCTTTAAAAGTTTAGAGACTAAAATGGAATAAACTTAGAACTTTAGACATTAAAGACATTTTGAAAGTTTAGAGACCAAGACGGAACTTTAAAGTTTTAGGACAAAAATTGTGAGATCCCATGTTGGTTGGAGAGGGGAACGAAACATTCCTTATAAGGGTGTGGAAACCTCTTCCTAACAGACACGTTTTAAAACCTTGAGGGGATGCCTGATAGGGAAAGTCCAAGAAAGACAATATCTGCTACCGGTGGGTTTGGACTGTTACAAATGGTATCAGAGCCAGACACAGGGCGGTGTGCACACTGGGCTCCCAAGGGGGTGGTTTATGAGATCCCACATTAGTTGGAGAGGGGAACGAAACATTCCTTACAAGAGTGTGGAAACTTCTTCAGAGTAGATGCGTTTTAAAACCTTGAGGGGAAGTTTGGAAGAGAAAGACCAAAGAAGACAATATTTGCTAGCGGTGGGCTCGGGCTATAACAAATGGTATCAGAGCTAGACACCGGGCGGTGTGCATGTTGGGCTCCCAAGGGGGTGGATTGTGAGATCCCACATTGGTTGGAGAGGAGAACGAAACATTCCTTATAAGAGTGTGGAAACTTCTTCCCTAGCAAATGCGTTTTAAAACCTTGAGGGGAAACTTGGAAGAGAAAGGCCAAAGAAGACAATATTTGCTAGCGGTGGGCTCGAGCTATTACAAATGGTATCAGAGCCAGACATCAGGCGTTGTGCTAGTGAGGACGCTGGGCCCCCAAGGAGGTGGATCGTGAGATCCTACATTGACTAGACAAAGGAACGAAGCATTCCTTATAAGGGTGTGGAAACCTCTTCCTAGCAGACGCGTTTTAAAACTTGAGGGAAAGTCTGGAAGGAAAAGCCCTAAGAGGGCAATATCTGCTAGCGGTGCACTGCCCTGTTACAAAAATGGTATTTAAAATTACAAAAAAACACGGTTTGTTCTCGTCTTGGGTGTGGGGAGAACCTTCTTGAATCAATGGAAATTGGGTCATGAGCAAGGAGTGAGCTTAGATGCCTGTTCAACAATAAGAAGAAGAAAACTAGAACAACACTCTTGCTTGTTCTCTCCGAGATGGTTTATGCTGCAAATCTTTCTCTTCTGCACTCATTTGCTTGTCCTGTGTTACCCTGTTAACTCATTGAATGCATTCTGTCAGTTGGATGTAAAAGTAATCTACAGCAGTGGAATTGCTTTAGATATATTGCCAAAACGTGCTGGCAAAGGAGAGGCACTTGCATATCTTCTCAAGAAGTTCAAAGCTGATGGGAAAGTTCCAGCCAATGTTCTTGTTTGCGGCGACTCTGGAAACGACACCGAGCTTTTCAGTGTCCCCAATGTCTATGGTGTAATGGTCTGTGGCCTTGAAAACTCTTCATCGTCTAAGTACATATCAACGGTGAACCGTTAGATTTATGGTGTCAAATGTTTCCCTCATCTGTGTAGGTAAGCAATGCACAAGAGGAGCTACTGCAATGGTACGCCGAGAATGCGAAGGACAACCCGAAAATAACTCATGCAGCTGAGAGATGTGCAGGAGGGATCATAGAGGCTATAGGCCGCTTCCAACTTGGTCCAAATCTGTCCCCTAGAGACATAGATTTCAAAGGCTGCTGCTGCTGCAAAGTGGAGACGACTGATCCTTATTTTGAAGTCGTGAAATTTTACGTGCTTTACGAAAGATGGAGGCGCGGTGAAGTCGAGAAGTCAGAGGTGTATCTTGAACATCTGAAGTCCATCTTTCATGCAGAAGGGATAGTTGTGGATACGAGCAGGAACGAGCGAAGTAGAGAGGAATTGGTAGATGGAATGAGAGGGTTATATGGTGACATGAAGGGCACCCGATTTCGAAGCTGGGTTGATGGACTCTCCTCCTCAGAGATCGGATCGGATTCTTGGCTTCTCAGGTTCAATAAGTGGGAATCGTATTCTTCCTCGTCTTCATTATCATCGTCAGGTAAGAATTAAGATCTTCGCATCATCATCATCATCATCATCATAAGATGTGAGATCCCTCGTCGGTTGGGGAGG